AATTCGCATGTAAAGGAAATATGTAAAATAAGCCTCTCTTTCCTGGGACATCAATGTTGTCATGAATGCTTCAAATCTGGTCAAGAAGATGAAGGAAATCCACCATCTTCAGTCACCATGAAGATGAATGATAAGTTTCAAACCAATAAGATGGCCGCCACGTTCTGGTACGTGCTGACGTCGTGCTCTGGCTCCTCCCATTACATTATGAGCACTGACGGGTAACGTGAATAACATTGATTATCTTGTTACATCGGCACCTGAAAGTCAGTGAGATATATTGGGCAACAAGTGAACATATTGTCCCTGCAAGTTGATGTGTTCAAAGCAGAAAAAATGGGCAAGCATATGGATTTGAGTGACTTGATAAGGGCCAAATTGTAGTGGCTAGATGACTGGGTCAGAGCAACTCCAAAACTGCAGCTCTTGTGGGATGTTTCCAGTCTGCAGGGGTCAGGACCTACCAACAGTGGTCCAATGAAGGAAGACTGGTGAATGGGTCATGGGTGGCCAAGGCTCATTGATTCCTGTGGGAAGCAAAGGCTGGCCCATGTAGTCCAATCCAATAGAAGAGCTACTGTAGCTCAAAATGGTGAAAAAGTGAATGCTGGTTCCAATAGAAAGGTGTCAGAACCCATATGGCAGTTTGTTTTGTATGGGGCTATGTAGCTAACAGACCGGTCAGGGTGCCAATGCTGAAGATTGTCCATAACCAAAGGTGCCTACAATGGGCACGTAAGCACCAGAACTGGACTACAGAGCAATGGAAGAAGGTGGTCTGGTCTGCTGAATCCAATTTTCTTTTACATCATGTGGATGGCTGGGTGCATGTGCCTCACTTACCTGGGGAAGAGATGGACCCAGGATGCACTATGGGAAGAAGGCAAGCCGGTGAGGCTTAAAGGATCTGCTACTGACAGCTTAGTGCCAGATACCACAGCATACCTTCAGAGGTCTAGTTGCGCCCATGTTGTGATGGGTCAGAGCTGTTTTGGTAGCAAAAAGGGGACCTACTCCTTATTAGGTGGGTGGTCATAATGTTATGACTGATCTGTGTTTATTCTCAGCAATTTTCCTTAATATTACTTTACTTTACAAGAAGACAGAATCAAATTATAAAACCACAACACTAGCTTTGATGTCTGTCATGCTTGACCATAGATGTGTTAATTGTAACGGTGACTGTGGCAAGTCAGTCTGACACACACACACACACACACAACAATCTGATTGCATATTTTTGAAATCTCTTTGAAATTTATAAACATTGTTGCAGTACAATCACTTACCTACCCAATCAGTTGACAGTGGAAAGTGTATGTGAGCCCTAACAATCAACTTTTCATTTGCTTCCCTTTTAGCCTCTTAATAATACCATTTGAAAGCTTTTAGTTTTATCTGTACAAGAAAATCTGCTGATTTTGTCAGCAATCTTTTGACTTATTAACTTTGCCTACTGCTTGCGATGACAGTTAACTTCTTTTTCCCCAGCTCTGTATGTGGACTACAGAACACCACTGTGTTTTAGAGGAGGATGGGGGAGGTGTTCTGTAGTTCTGTCATAATGTGACAACAGTGCTCCTCTATAGATGCAATAGTTTGAGTCACTAAATCAGAACAAAGGCTTCTGGCTTTTCTGTGATTTGTCTGATATATATTTACTCACTGGTTTAGTGACTCATACTACTGAAGCCAGAGGGTCAGCATGACAGGCAGGCAACTAGCATATTCAGAAATAGGTCAGCAATTACAGAATATTTGTTTCTAAGAGAAGGAGAAATGATTGCTTTTATGGCTGTAAAAGCAATCAGTGTACAAAAAAATCTTTATCACCCCCCAAAAGTAGCACAGTGTCACTAGGGTGACCGTATGTAAAAAAAAAAAAAAAAAAAAACCCATAAATAATAAAATAAAAGTAAAAACAATTTTGAAAAATTATAATTTTTGGTTATAAACTAATTTGTTTTTACCAAAAAGATAGCTGAATACATTTTGGCCAAGATTTATGAAAGATTATTTATTTGCAAAATGGTATAAGAAAAATACTTTTTTTTTTTTTTTTTAAATGTTTGGATTTTTTTCATTTATATAGCAAAAAAATACAAATTCCCAGTGGTGAATAAATACCACCAAAATAAAGTTTTATCTGTCTCAAAAAAATGCTAAAAAATTCATATGGGTACAGTGTTGCATGACCGCGCAATTGTCATTCAAAGTGTGATAGCACTGAAAGCTGAAAATTGGCCTGGACAGGTGAATGTGTCCGGACACACATCTAATTGGGTGCCATGTACAACTGCTCCTAATTTATTTTTCCAGGGATTTCATCCTGTCTCTGTTAGACTTCCTAACTCTGTATTACCGTACCGACATTTGGGGAAAATTTATCTTTTTAATCTTGCGCTTATGAATAGAATCTTAATGCAAATGAACCGTATTTAAGCAGCAGTCCTAATTTGTGAACCAATAAACACAAAAAACAAATATCATATGGACCGCGCATACTATAAACTTAGTGCAATAAAATATATATATATATATATATATATACTTGTGGTAATTACTACACCTGTAATAAATTGATATTATTTAGTCCCAGTTCATGAGAATAAAGTGCTGAATGCTTAATTGTGAACTTCGTTAAAATGACAGGTGCTCAAAACGGTGCCCCACATGGATGTGCACTCACCGTCATCCCCTGACCACCTATCTCTACGATGATCTCATGCGCTTTATTTGGGACTATTCCAGAGTGCTGCGTAGTAATGGAACCAATAATCCTTCCCGGGGGGGGGGGGGTATGCAGTGTTGCTGGTGTTAACCAATGTTCTATGACAGGATTTTAAACAGCATTACTAATGGTAGCAGTGTAACTCCACAATGGCTGTGTCAGAATCCCTCCTCTTCTCCGCAGGCAGTAAAGCAAGTATCAGCATGGAAACGGAGACAAAAGCAGAAATCCCATAGTGTAAAACCATACAAACTTTAAATATTGGGGAGAAAGTGTAAAAATACAACTCAAGCAAAGTGCCCATAACCTGGCACTCCGTGCGGAAGTGTTGTCAGCGGAAGTTGCGTCATCAAACATTGACGTGTTTCGACCAATATATCGTCATCAGGCAACTTCCGCTGGTGTCACTTCCGCCCTATGGAATGCGGTGGCCATCTTGGTTTCCATTCACAAGCAACAAGGCTGAATACACTGAGTGCCAGGTTAGGGGCACTCTACTTGCTAGTTGTATTTTTACACTTTAACCCCTATATTAAAAGTTTTTATGGTTTTACACTATGGGATGTCCACTTTTGTCTCTGTTTTCATGCTGATACTTGCTTTACTGCCTATGGAGAAGAGGAGGAATTCTGACACAGCCATTGTGGAGTTTATACTGTTACCATTAGCAGCGCTGTTTAAAATTCTGTCATAGAACATCGGCTACCACCAGCAACACTGCATACTACCCCAGGAAGGAGTATTCGTACCATTGCTATGCAGCACTCTGGGTAGTCCAAAATAAAGCGCATGAGACTATCCTAGAGATAGGTGGTCAAGGGATGACGGTGAGTGCACATCCATGTGGGGCACTGTTTTGAGCACAGGGGAGCACCTGTCATTTTTAACAAAGTTCACAAAGAAACAAAGGTAATTCACCCCAGCAGGACACAGAAGCAAAAATCCTGACCAGGGTTCAACTATTCCCCATTCTCTTTAAAACGAAAAAACACAAGTAAGGGCTTGCTAAAACAAATGCCTTGTGCTTAGGCACCGTCCACATCTGGCGATTTGGGATCACAGGTGGTACCATCGCGATTCTGCCTGCAATTCCAAATCACTCTATCATGGCAAAACAGAGCATGCATTTGTGTTTTAATTTTCAGTGGTGTCTCAAATGCAGTGTAATTTTGCGCACTTCTGTCGGACTGAGAAACATGTGTAGGCTGTACGCTCTGTCCTGTAGAAAATGCTAGATATTTGGCTGTCTCTGATTTCAATACTGTGAATCACTGACCACAATAAAACACATGGCAGGTGAAATCAGAACAAAGTTAAACCTCCCGGTGTGCATGTGTACTTCTTCCAAGTCAGTGATAGCATTGCGCTAAGCTTGTCTCCCAAAAATGGAGCAGGAGCTTCTTTTTGGCGACAAACTTCATGCAGTGTGGTTTGCCGCACTATAAATTGTGCAAGAATCGCTGCAAAACCACACTGTTTGATGTGCTATTAAAATTGAATGGCATACAAACATGCATGCTGTGTCTTTGTCATGATTGCAGTGCGATTTGGAATCGCGTACAGAATCTTGGCAATCTCTGCCGCTATCCCAAATCACCAGATGTGAACCATTGTAAAAGAAAAAGCTGCTGCATGCTCACTTTAGCACATTCAAAAACACAGCACAGCATAACATACCTTTTAAATGCTCAGGCTTATGCAACACTGGTTAATTCCTGCAATTAAAAGGAAACCGGAACCGAGGGAACACATAAGCTGCCATTGTTGACTTCCACTAGATGCCTGGCTTTCATGTTGATCCAGTGGTTTTGAGTTTTTTTTTTTTTTTTTTCTATCGCTGACTTGGAAGTACATATGCACATCAGGAGGTTTGACTTTGTTCTGATTTCACCTACCGTATGCTTAGTTAGGGTCAGTGACTCAAGGTATTGAAATCAGAGCCAGCCAAATAAGTAGCATTTTCTGCAGGAGGCCAGAGCAGAGAGCCTATATGTTTCTCTCAGTACAAGTGCACATTGAAGTGTCTTTGGTCCAAGCATGCCTTAGAACAGCAAGTTGCCCTTATGCAATAGATGGGAGGTGAAAAGCACTTTTTAGAAGCGAATATACTCCAGCAAAGTGAATGGATCTTTCCTTTTCCTGTGTAAATAGAAAAATGATCCTCATTTGAGAAAGAGATTTTAAGACCTACCAAAATCTCCTATTTTAAGGTCCAGAGGTGACTCGAGTGTTCTGATTTCACTGTGTGTATATTTTTTTTTTTAAGGATATGAACTGTCTCCCACTGCAGCTGCAAACTTCACACGCAGAAACTTGGCTGACTATCTTAGAAGCAGGGTGAGTTCATTAAAATCTGTAACTATTTTAATGTTCCCTACATGACATCAATGATTCCGCAGAGACAGCTGGCAGGCCAGATGTGTCTGCCAGGCAGCTGGCATTTTCAGAGGCAGTCCACCAGTTTCTCCTATGACAGGTTTAATTAAATAAACATGGGAGGCAGCCTACATGGTTTGTTCACTTGTTACCTGTCTCCTGGTGGGAACCATCAAATAAACATTTGTCTTTGCAATCAGCTCATCCCCCACATCCCCTCAACCTTTTGTACCACTTGCCCCACCCTATTAGATTGTAAGCTCTTAGGAGCAGGGCCCTCTTAATCCTTTTGTTTTGATTGTATTGTAGCTGTACTGTCTCCCTTTATATTGTAAAGTGCTGCACAAACTGTTGCCCCTATATAAGTCCTGTATAATATATTGTATCTATTTCATTTTAGCTTTTGTGATTATGCTCTGCCATTTTACTAGGATGCATTTTCTGAACCTTTTAAATGTATCATTGTTAAATACAGCTGTTAGATGTTTTGTCTGTTTCATCATTGTTCTACTTTCCAGTAAAGTATTATTTATGGGAGAATGTTGACAGCAGCAAAAAATCCTCATCTGTATGACAAGCTGCTATTTAGGAAGGAAGCAGCAGGAACCTTGTGAGCTCCTCTCCTCATTTAACATCTAGCTACAGTTTAATATTCGGGTGCTCACATAACCCTCTGAAACAGATGGTGCAGGTAAAGCTGTTACTTTTAAGTATCCTGTCTCCCAAGTGCTGAAATCCATTTGCTATACACGCCGAAAGTTAATGCCGCTAACGAGGGTAATTGAACACGCTTTTTGGCAGACACATTTAGCAGGATGTGACATGGTGCCACGTTTAGTCCTGACTCCTTTATTCCGAGAGTGCCAGCCCTTTTCCTCCCTCTGATAGAGGTCCTGCATCCATTCTCCTGTGTGCCCAGATTCTCTGCACCTGTTCCAGATGGGTAACTCAGTGGGGGGACACTGGCAGAGGCAGATGTGTTTGCATGCCGGAGATGTAGCGCTGTGCTACAGATGGTGATGCCTAAGAGGGAGTGGGGTGTGTAAAACTATTGTTAAAGATCACAGTGTTCACAGCCCCTGCTGTTACCACTGTACAGCCTCTGACAGTGCAAATTGTAGCAATTGGTACAGATTGTCCCCTTTTTGGTGACCTTTTACTAACAGCTAGAGTCCAAATAAGTTTTAAAACATGATAAATTTGAGTTTAATTTGAGTCTTCATCCACATGACACAATAGTGTTTATCTCTTAGATTGTAAGCTCCAAGGAGCAGGGCCCTCCTAGCCCTCTTATATTGAACTGTATTGTTGCTGTATTGTCTCCCTTTATATTGTAAAGCACTGAGCAAACTGTTGGCGCTATATAAATCATGTATAATAATAATAATTTCCTAAAACTGGAGAGTGCAAAAACTGGTGGAGCTCTGCATAGAAACCAATCGGCTTCCATTTTTTTTTTTTTTTTTTTTGTCAAAGCTTAATTGAACAAGCTGAAATTAGAAGCTAAAATAAAAATGTAAAAGTGAGCGCTCTAAAAACAGCAGCTAATGCACCAAAGGTAACCAATATAAAACCTTCATCGATCAAAGTGCAGCGCTAAAATGTAAATAATATATTGAAATGAATAATCTCAAAAATGACAATCAATCAGACAGCCAGGGGCCCCTTTAAATGGGTGGATGGATGAGGCAGCGTATAAACCAGGTTCTCCTCTAGGGACAGCTGTACATCTCTAGAATCCAAGTGGCTCTGGAAATTAATAGCTCCACATGGGAAGCCAAAGAATAGTGCCCATAGTGTAGTAGTTCAGAGAGAGATAAATTTATTTGAATGGTATTAAAAGTAGTTTACATCGGGATAAGAATAAGGGCAAAATCACAGAGAGCAATGTGAATCGGACTAACCGTCCCAAAACTAAGATGGCCGCCGGGCCTCCACGTGGCTCCGGCAGCGTGACGTCATGACGTACTGGCTCCGCCTAATGTGTTTCGTGCTCACGCACTTCCTCAGAGATTGGATACCAATCTCTGAGGAAGTGCGTGCGCACAAAATGCGTCCATCCACCCCTTTTAAAGGGGCCCCTGGCTGTCTGATCCCTTCTCCTCCTGCAAGCTCCTACAGCACCACCTAGACGCAGAGAGAGGATTTCCCTGGTCCAGGACCATATCCATTACCTTGAGGGAACCACTGCTACTGTTAATGCGCATTAACATTGCGTATCTGGTGAGTGCGCATTCTTATCATACCACCATTGGAGCACTGACACAGGATCGTGATTGTTACTACCTCCACCTAATTATGCACGGACTGTCACTTTGAGATTAATTACTTATTTGTCATTTTTGAGATTATTCATTTCGATATATTATTTACATTTTAGCGCTGCACTTTTTATTTATTTGAAATTAGACTGGCTACCATGCACAGCTGCGCCAGATTTTGCTTTCTCCAGTTTTAGTAAATCAACCCCAATGTATGAGTTTGAATTTAATTTTGATATTTATAGGTATATATTGGATATAAGACGTCTACACACCCCTGCTAAAATGGCAGGTTTCTGTGATAGAAAAAAAATGAGAGCAAGATAAATCATTTCAGAACGTTTTCCACATTTTAATGTGACCTATAAACTGTACAACTCAATTGAAAAACAAACTAAAATCTTTTAGGGGGGGGAGTATACATACAAAAACTAAAATAACGTGGTTGCATATGTGTGCACACCCTCTTATAACTAGGGATGTAGCAGTGTTCAGAATTAGGCAATCACATTCAAAATCATTTTAAATAGGAGTCAGTACACACCTGCCATCATTAAAAGTGCCTCTGATTAACTCCAAATATAGTTCAGCTGTTCTAGTAGGTCTTTGCTAACATTTTGTTTGTCGCATCCGACAGCAAAAGCCATGGTCTGCAGAGAGCTTCCAAAGCATCAGAGGGATCTCACTGTTAAAAGGTATCAGTCAGGAGAAGGGTACAAAAGAATTTCCAAGGCACTAGATCAGCGGTTCTCAACCTGTGGGTCGCGACCCCTTTGGGGGTCGATCGGCCCTTTCCCGGGGGTCGCCAGACTCGGGGGTCAGACTCATGACAGCAGCCGGCACGGTGCCGCTCTGTCTGTACATCGTGTGTGTGCTGTGTGTGTGTAGATCGGACCTTAGAGGACGGGCTGACGCTTATGCTGGTGCACAGGAAGTGATGTCATATCTTCCTGTGTTTGAAGGAGCTGGATGCCCGGGCTGGTAAGTCGGGTCTGATGATTTTGCTGCACTCAGAGGGTAGACACTGTACCAGCACCACCGCTACCCACAGTTAGGTAAAGGGGCGCCCGCAGTGCTGCAAATCCACTGCCACCAATGTTATAAAATGGGTTTTGGAGGGATCCCCCACTGAGCCACCACTGATCAATATATTTTGTATGGGGAGTGATACACTGAGCCACCAATGATTTATTTATTTTTTGGGGGGGGACTGAGCCACCAATGATTTTTTTTTGGGGGGGGGGGATTAGACTGTTGTGATCGACTGCTTTCATTGCTGTCCGTCAGACAGGTGGCTGTGGTGTCAGAAGAAAATCCCCAGCAATTGCAAGCGCTTTTCACAGGTTTGCTGGCGTTTTTGTTTTTTTTTGTAATGGTGGTTTTGTTTAGTGCTGCCCCTGCGTAGAAATAGCAGATTTTTAGACTTGGTGACAGTTTTCCTTTAACCATTAGCCGCCCGGCCAATGGCCGTTTGGCGGCTTGAAAAGCGCTGCAGCTTTCCGGGTGCACGCCATTTGGTTTGCGCGGTTGCAGAGCGACGCAGCAGTGCGATCTGTCACCGCCCATGCACCTCGGAAACGGCCGATGACAGATCCGAGTAACGGCTCCCGTTGCCGGTACCATGTGACCTGCTGTGACCAATCACAGCAGGTCACATGACAGTTGTATACAATGGATGGCTTCATTCATGATGCCATCCATTGTATACTAGTGCCTAGCTGTGAATGGTCACAGCTAATCACATGCACATGTCATGTGATTAGCTGTGACCAAATCACAGCTAAGCACAAAAAAAAAAAAAAAAAGCTGAATGAATCGATTTCATTCAGGTAAATGCTTGCTTATAGCAAAGTAATTCTTTGCTATAAGCAAATTGTGTAAAAAAAAAAAAAAAAAAAAATACTGATCACTTCCCCAAAGTAGTACAGTGTTACTATGGTAACATTGTACTATTTTGGTCATAGTAAAATATGAAAAAAAATCTTAAAAAAAATTAAAAAAAAATGTAATAAAAAATTAAATATAATAAAAAAATAAAAAAAATATATATATATTTTTTTTTCATACTGTCACCAGTCAGTGTCGCTGTTCACGCCATGCCAGTTATATGATGACGCTGTACTGCACTGGTGACAGTATGTAAAAAAAAAAAATAGTGAAAATAATTTTTTTCATTTTTTTCATTTTCCGAAAAATTATGACAAAAAAATACAACTTCAAAAAACTCGCCATGCCTCTTATGAAGTACGTCGGACTGTCTACTCTGCAAAAAGGGGTCATTTGGGGGATATCTGTACTGTTCTGACATTCTTGGACCTCAAGATATTAGATTGGCTGTCAGTACTTCAGGATTGATCAATATTCAGATCTATACCATAGTTTGTGAACTCTATAACTTTCCTACAAACTAAAAAATACATCCTAATTTGGGTTATTTTCACCAAAGACATGTAGCAGAATACATCTCGGCCTAAATTTATGAAGAACAATTATTTATTTGTAAACTTTTATAACCGAAACAAAGAAAAATGTGTTTTTTTTTTTCAAAATTTTTGGTCTTTTTTTGTTAATTTAGCAAAAAATAAAAAACCCCAGCGGTGATTAAATACCACCAAAAGAAAGCTCTAGTTGTGTGAAGAAAATGATCAAATTTTAGTTTGGGTACAATGTTGTATGACCGCGCAATTGTCATTCAAAGTG